ATCGCATGCGATAAAAAATATGAAAAATTAAAAAAAAAATATCACTTCTTTCTATGCGTTTTTTTCAGATTTTATACATTTATGCCAAGAGGACATTCCAAATTGACAACATTTTTCAAAATCGGTCCAGCCATCCATGAGATATAAGCATTCTAGCTAACATCGCCTTTCTTTGTGTATACACATTATATATATTTCGCTATATTTATCCGATATATTTACTATCAGCATTTGTGATTTTGTCGGAATTAAAAATATTCGCGGTTTAATGGAAAATTTGACTTTTGTTTAACACAAGTGTTATGGCCTATTTCACCCACTAAATATTACCCGACGACCGTCCGATTTGGAAGGCTTCTGCCCAGCCCTAAGCTTTAGCCCCATGCTAACTTCCGAGGTAATTGGTCTATAATTGCGACCTGTAGGGCAACTGCAAAATGAGTTTTTGGTCCATTTCAACCCCTAAATATTATGCGATCATCACCAAAAGCAATAGACTTCTATTCTGAGCATAACCCCACCTCCATGCAATTTCTTAAAGATCGGTCTATAACGGCGACCTGAACCGTGATTACAACTTAACATGGACAGACGGACGGACGGGCATACATAGCTAGATCGACTCAGCTTGGCGAGATAGGAAGATCCATATATACTTTCCTATGTGGTAAACCAATGTTTCGAAGTGGTACATAATTTTTGGCCCAATCTAACCTATAATACCACCAACACATAGTGTTGTGGGATATATAAAGTAACAAATATTTCCTATATTTTCATGGCTGGTCTTTGGTCTTGTTTTGATTTAATGCAGAAATGTACAGGGTGAGATGAAAAAACGTCAACTAACTTCAGATTGCTGTCAATTCTAAGCCACTTGCCCGACAGCTGTTAAAATTATTCCAGTGACAGCTCATTATATTGTTTATTGTTTTGGTGAGAATTTTCTAGGAAAAAAGTTATTCGTGATGGAATTCAAGCTTGATAGTGTGATTTCATTAAAGTTGGCTGGAAAACAACAAGTGGCTATCGTTGGAGCACTCCAGCATTTAAATGTGAATGAGTATTTTGTGTCTCGTACCATCGCTGGTAGCGTAGCCAGTCGTCCAAGAATTGGACGGAAGAAAACAGCAACATCAGTAGAAATGGTTCGAAAAGTAAAGAAACGACTTGATCGAAACCCGTGTCGCAGTGGCCGAAAAATGGCTCGTGAGCTGAACTTATCACAATGTTCCATTCGCCAAATATTGAATAATGAGCTCGGGTTAAAATCATTGAAATTCTAAAAAGTGCAAGAACAGAAAGAAAATAGCCTCAAAAGAACTAAAGAGTTGCTTCGCGTGGCCGAAAGTGGTAAACAGCCGAATTTGGTTTACTCTGATGAGAAAACATTCGTTGTCCAGCAGTTTGTAAACAAATGCCAAAGAGGTCAGCTGAAAATGTGCACCTTCGGTTGGCTACCAGAACCATAGCGCCGGCCATGGTGATGGTGTGGGCCGCCATAACAGCCGATGGTCACTCTCCGCTCGTATTCATCGACCGTGCCATCAGAATATCGTGAAATATTTACGAAAATATTCTGGAGGGTGTGTTAAAGCCTTGGGCACAGAACATTTTGGCCGCAGACCTTGGACATTCCAACAGGACTCAGCACGCGCCACCCAATAATGGTTACAAAAGTGCGGTTTCTCGCTTCATTTCCAGCGCACAATGGCTACCAAAATATCCGGATACCAATCCGTTGGACTATTGTGTCTGGAGTATTTTGGAAAGCATCAGTTCACCTCAAGCAAGCGCTTCGCCGGAAATGGGTCCAAAATACCGGGCAACATTCGGGCAGCGTGTGACGGTTTCATTGGCCGTTTGATGGCCATGAATTGTACCAAAGGTGACCAATTCGAAGAAATTTAAATTTATTCTAAAATTTTATATTATTTCCGACATTATTTGCTTTCATTCAATAAAATTTAAAACAAAATGTAAAAATTTGCCGTTTGACTTTCTTGCAGTTTTTTAATCTCACCCGGTATATATTTGGAATATCGCAAGCTCTAGCATAATATATACATACTTAATACATAATTTACACGGTTCAAGAATATATACTTTGTGGGTCTTATAAACGGAGGGTGTAGTCGTTTCTCGAAATAAAATAAATGAAAAATATATATCATTGTAAATGAAATTCACAACTTTTTCTAGCAGTTTTTCAATTTAAACATTTGCAGAAAAACTTGCCTCATTAAATCGTATTAAAGACCACAAAATACAATTTAATTCCCTGAAAAGGTAAATCATCCACTTTTCATAAAATTGGGTCAACAAAAAATTAACCCCGATTCCAGTGAATTTAACTGATTTGCTATGCACATCAAATGCGTGAAAACTTGGTTACATTTCAAAAGGTTCACATCGCTGTCGTGTGGCATTACTACCACAGCGTTGTCCTTTTTTTTTCGAAATCACCTCCACGACAAATACAAAAAAGAGGCCAACAAAATATTTTGCGGTTTTTTGGTCTGAGAAGAAGGACACATGTGGCCACATGGCCGCAATGGCTAACAATATTTGTTTAGGAATAGAAAACAAACACACAAACACATACACACAGTAACAATGACAACAACTATGCCCAACAATAGAAAGCCAACGAAATACTTGGAATGTACGTTGATGTTTTCATTAGACGAATTAAATATTGCCAATGGTAAGCTGTAGATGTCCTTTTTACCATTGGCTCACTCCTGAGGTACACACACACACATACACAGACACTCAATTACGAATAAGTTTTCGGTCGACAAATGCTAATTAAATTACAACTTGTCAGAGGCAAAGCGTTTGCCAATTTTCCACCTTACCTATAATTTGAACAATTTTCCTGGCAACCACATCAGCATACAAAAGACCTTTATTCTAATTTAAAATGGAGTGTTTTTTGTGTTCATGGTACAGTGGGAGACATTTGAATAGGTACGACTAGTAGTATTATGGATTTAAATTACTGTTCTTTGTTTTTGTTATTCTATTTATTTTTAATGTGTAAATTTTGAAACCAGTAGCAAAATAAAATAAGCAAGCAATGTCCAAATGTATTTTGGAAAATGTCGCTTTTGAAATTATATCACGGAGCACTGTCCAGATATTATTCTTAGCATTTTGACCAGGGACATTAGCCCAATATTTAAGCACTTCGTTGTGCTGTTAGTTGTTGTGGTCCATTTTACAGCTAAATATAATCCAATGGTCGTCCACAATGCTAGACTTCTTCCCTGTCCTTAACTCTCTTCTCATACAAAATACCGTGTCGATAGGTTTCAATTGCGTGATCAGAAAAATTCTCCCGTGTTTGGTTCATTTGAATCCTTAAATATTTTGCGATTATCTGCTAAAAGCAAGAAGCCTCTCTGTATCTCCAAATTTAGACTCATCTATATGATTTGCTTGTCCACGATATTTGGCTATATTCGTCAACGAAATCAGCATAAAAAAGCCAGAAGTTCGCCTTTTGTGTATTTCGGATATCACATGATATTTTTTCACACAAAAGTTGTAGTCCATTCTTCCCGCTGTCCTAAACTCTAACTTCATGCGAGATTTAGTATCCTTTAGTTTCTTTTTATGACCTTTATAACGGCTGCAAAATCAGGAACATTTTTAGTTGTTGCTCCATTTCAACCCCTAAGTATATTGCGGACATCTTTAAAAACAATAGGCGTTGCCCTTCTGAGCCTAAGCCTACCCTTATGGAAATTTTCGTGAGGTTCGGACGATAATTGCAATATATATATAATAATCTCAACCTGTGTTGTAAGGTGAAAAAATATTACAAAATTAATATTTCAATATTATAAGTCTAATTGAAAAAATAGCATGCGATAAAAAATATAAATAGGAAAAAAATCACAAAATTCTACAAAATCTATATTAACTTCATTATTGGCATCTTTTTATGCGATTTTTTAGATTTAATTATTTTCTGCTAAGAAATCTGAATTGACAAAATCGGTCCAGCCATTCTTGAGATATAAGCATTCTTGCTAACATCCCGTATAACATCTCATTGTATATATTCCGCTATCCGATATATTTACTATCGGCATCTACGTAACGGTCAGAATTGACCTGTTCGTCTATTTGTGATTTCGGCGGGATCAAAAATATTTGTGGTTTAATGGAAAATTTGACTTTTATTTAACACAAATTAAATTTCACCCACTAATTTTTACCTGATGACCATCAAAATTGGAAGGCTTCTGCCCACCACTGAGTTCTAGCCCCATGCTAACTTCCGCGTCAATTGGTTTATAATTGCGACCTGTAGAGCTACGGCAAAATCTGGAAAATTTTCAATTTTTGGTCCATTTCAACCCCTAAATATTACGCGATTATCTCCAAAAAGCAATAGGCTTCTATTTAGCCCCATCTCCATTGTAAATTTTGTGGAAATCGGGCTATAATTGCGACCTGTAGAGTGATTACAAATTAACGTTAATGGACGGACATACACAGCTAGATCGACTCAATTCGGCAAGATAGGAAGATCCATATATACTTTTCTATGTTGAAAACCAATATTTCGAGTTTTTACATAATTTTTGGCCCAATTAAACTTATAATACCCCCAACACATAGTGTTGTAGGGTATAAAAATAATGCCGAGAAGGAATGGCAACTCACCAAAAATTTTTCGATAGACATTTTTACAACGGCTTTTTGACATTTCTTACCCTGCAAATTTCCCGTATACTTTACATTTTTTACCCATTTTAAAAATATGTCCAAACTTAAACCCCCCGCAGTGTAAACCTGCATTCATTAATTTTTCACAAATGCCAACGAAAACCCTCATATAAATTTCCATACAATGAACACCTGTTTTTTGCTTCCTCTTCGTTTTCCAATACAGACCCTTCTACCCGCACAACATCCCACATTAGCCGTACAATGCTGCTTACCACCTACTACTACCACCACAACAATGTTAACATCATACTCACCGACAGTAGATGCCAATCATCACCACACATGGAAAATAAAAACTGATACAGCTCGACACAACGGCATATGTAGGCGTCAGGTCCAGGGCACAGGTTGGATACTTCTTGCCATTATCCTCCACAATTAACGGTTGATCGGGCCGATGTAATCCCAACGAGATGGGCACAAATGAAACGAATGCGGCCAACAGCCAAATGGCAGCTATTGTGATGACAGCCACACGCCTTGTTACCCAACGGCCGTATCTGAAACGAAGAAAATGAGAGAATGAGTGAGAGAGAGTGCAACGTAAAATGGGAATTAAAAACCGAAATTGGAATGTGTGGTAAATGTGACGACGAACAGAGGAAACAACAAGTGAAGTTCCAACAAGGATTAGAAATCGAAATTACAAGTGTGGGTGCGTATGTAAATGGAATGATTGCTTTTGGGAGGAGTGTGTTTGTCGATTGTCGTGTGCCTGTCAATTTCTGCTGTCATCAGGAAACAAATTGACTGATTCTTGTTATTGTGCTTGAATTTGGCTAATATTGTGTTTGAATATCCTGTCTACCAAGAAAAATGGGACAAAATGGAAGCTTGTTATTCCTGTAAGCGTATTGAAAAATGTTTGTTTATGATTTCCTCTTGGACTGTTTTAAAGAGCTTAACGAGAAATTTTTGAAGGGGAGATGTGTGAATTCTTCATTTGCGTATTTCGAATTAACAAAGAATATAATTAGCTCATATTTCTTTGGAAAAGACAAAAAGGTTAAAAATAAACTCATCCTCGATTTGAAACGTTCACTTTATGTTATTTTAAATTGATTTTAAAAGATATCTGCAACTTTTCTGTTAACATGTCGGCTGGCTTTAAGTTGATACCCTCTTAATACGTCCAAAACGTGCCTCACCGAAATATCGTTTTTAGACCTTAAGTATCTTTGAACAAAATCCGTTTTAGGACATTTGGAGTATCTCTAGAACTTTTTAATTAATGAATTAATTTTATCAGTACTAGGTGCGGTTCTAAATCGGACTGCGGACTATATCAGATTCCCCCCACAAAGGGTCTAAATTTGGAATAATTATAATTCTTAAAAAAAGGTGAATAAGTCCGATTGTCATAAAATTTCGCACGTTCCAAAATTTCTAGCAGCACAAGTTCTGGTGTGAATGGACAGCTAACCAGGCTAAATTTTGTAATAACCAAACGCTCACAAAATGCGAAATAACCATCCGATTCTCTTCAAATTTAAAACATCCCAATATTTTAAGTAACACAATATATGGTGTTAAGATGGGACATATCGGCCCAATCGTTCTGGTACCTCTATTTCTACTAGTGGAAGATCGAAAGGGAAGATGGAATATAACAGATCACTTTGTTTTGGTTCCTACCCCACAACGGGTCAAAATTTTATATGACTATAATTCTCACAAAATACGAAAAAAGCATACAATTCACTTTAAATTTCAGTTTCAATATGAATTTAGTACTTTGCGAACAGTTATATTAGGTATACCCACAGAGACCTTACCATCAAATTTTGGGATAAACAGGGTGGGATGATAAAACTGCAACCAACTTCAGACTGCGGTGATTTCTAATTTCCGACAGCTGTTAAAATTATTCCAATGACAGTTCATTATATTGTTTACAAGCGTACAAAAGCATTTTGGTGAGAATTTTCCAGAAAAATAATTTATTCGTGATGTAATTCAAGCGCGATTGTGAGATTTGTTTATATTTGGCTGGAAAACCACTAGTGGCTATCGTTAGAGCACTCCAGCATTTACATGTGAGTAAATCTTTTGTCTCTCGTACCATCGCTCTTTACCGTGATTCTGGTAGAGTAGCCCGACGTCAAGGAAGTGGACGGAAGAAAACAGCAACATCAGCAGAAATGGTTTGAAAAGTGAAGAAGCGATTTGTTCGAAAACCGCGTCGCAGTGTCCGAAGAATGGTTCGTGAGCTGAACATATAGCAATATTCCATTCTGCAAATATTGAAAAATGAGCTCGGGGTAAAGCCATTGAAATTCTAAAAAGTGCAAGAACTTACACCGCAACTGAAATAAAATAGACTCAATAGAGCTAAAGAGTTGCTTCGCTTGGCCGAAAGTGGTGAACTGCCAAATTTGGGTTTCTCCGTTGAGAAACTATTCGTTGTCCAGCACTTTTGTAAACAAACAAAATGATCGTGTTTACTTGCCACAGAGGTCAGTTGAAAATGTGCACCGTCGGTTAGCCACCAGAACCGCCATAACAGCCGATGGTCGCTCTCCGCTCATATTAATCAACCGTGGCATCAGAATAAAAGCCGAACAGTAGGCGAAAATATTCTGGAGTGTTTATTAAAGCCCTGGGCACGCAAACATTTTGGCCGCAGACCTTAGATATTCCAACAGGACTCAGCACCATCGCACTCAGCACGCGCCACCCAAAATAGTTACAAAATTAGATTCCTCGCTTTATTTGCAGCACACAATGACCATCAAAATCTCCGAACACCAATCCGTTGGACTATTGTGTCTGGGGTACTTTGGAAAGCAGAGTTGGCACTTCGCCGGGAATGGGCCAAAATACCGCAGAGCAACATTCGGGCAGCGTGTGACGGTTTCATTGGCCGTTTGAAAGCCATAATTCGTGCCAAAGGCGATCAATTCGAACAAATCTAAACTTATTCTAAAATTTGAAAGCTTTGCTTTCATTCAATAAAATTAAAAAAAATATGGCGTTTGACGTTGTTGCATTTTTTTATCTCACCCTGTACAGGGTTGCCTATATTCGACGGACCCATGACTCTTTGGGCCCATTTCAATCGACAAGGCTTGTCCTCAGGCAACATTTTTTGCGTCAATTGAATTTTGTACGGGAACAAATGCAAATCAATGCGAATAATACGTTGTAAAGTGGACAGAGCCATGCTCGTACGGCAGTGATATTCTCGGCCGATCGCCTTGGTCGACTTTTATATGGCCTCTTCGGATTAGAAAGAGCCTTACCAGTCGAAAATTTTTCGTATAAACGCTTAATGGAGGCGCACTTCTGACATTTTTTTAATTTTTAAAAGCACGTTGAGTTTTCACAATTGACTTCTTCGGTTGAATTAAATTTCAGAGCGCTCGCGTGGCGTGTAATGGTTCATGGTAAAAATCTGCTTGGACTGACGCTGCAAACGCGGTATGTCATTAAGCGATGTGACATCTCTGTCAAAAGTTATGGCGTTGCCAGATGGATCCGTCGAATATGGGCAACCCTGTATATTATTGAGAGGCATAATCATTGAAAATTTTGACCCGCTGTAGAGGAGTGGACCGAAGTATCCAATTTTATCACCAGATCTTGTGTTCATAGAAATATTGCAATATGTGAAGAGAATCGGTGATCCTTGCTTGGTCTATAAGCATATTATTTTTTTTAAACGTTTTGACCTTTTGTGTGGCAGGTACCGAAAGTTTTGGAACGACATTGCCCATCTCTGAACTCGACCTATGTTTGACAATAATATTACGATGTACCATGTTTGGGGCAAGTCGGATACTCCCTCCGAGAGTTATCGTGCCCACCTGCCGGCTAGACAGACGGATGGACGGACATCCCTAGATCGACTTCAAATGTCCTGAAACGGATTGGTTCAAAGAAACCTAGTGTCTAGAACCATTATTTCGATGATACATTTTTTGGCCGTTTCAAATGATTTATACCCTACATAGCCAAACGGCTGAGGGTATAACAAGTATTGCTATTGTACCCGTAATACATACTTCGACATCCGCTTATATATACTCATTATTTTTTAAAATGCTTAACAATAACAAATTGACATCAATCTGACAATATGCATCATAAAATTTTTATATGACTTAAACAAATTAAGTAATATACATTTCAATATTCGTTTTATTTATTATTCTCCCTTGGTTGCAATTTGGAGTGAAACAGTAAACTTATATATTTGGATAACGAAGCTAAAGTATAAATCAATGCAGGCCAATAAAGGCTAATAAAAATTTCATTGACTTTTATTTGAGGGGGAAGGGTCATAAAAATGGAGATTTTCTCTGGGTAACAGATGACAGAGATATAAGGTAATGATAGGAATACCATAATATTCACAATAAAAAACAAGATGATTTTTTATGACAACCAATGTTTTTTGCCAAGAAATAATAAAAAAGAAGATGCATTTTTATGAAAACTAATGTTTTTCCCAAGAAGTCAGTATTTTCACTTCAGTACTTTATTCGCTGTGCAATGATTTTCAAATAAAGAAAATATTAAATATTTTTGTATTCTACGAAATGACCTCTTTAAAAAAACTTTTTTTGAATGTCCCGAACCAGTTTCCATTTTCCATAGATCAATCAATCATTTCTACATTTATTCAAATTTTGATATAAAAAAGTTAATGAAGTAATATTAGGAAGTGGTACACGAATAGAAGGAGATAATGAATGAATAAAATTATTTAAAATTCATTCATTCATGCGGTCCTAGGAGGCGTGCTGCATGAGAAACAACACATGTTGTTCTATTCACAAGACAAATACAAACAAGTAAGCAAAGGCTACAGTCGAGCAGGGCCGACCGTTGAATACCCTACAATACTAAAATAAACCATACAGTTTATATAGGCGAGATACTCGAAAGAATTCCACAAGATATTGTGACAAATAATAAAAGAACCCCATCAGGTTTCGTTCTCTAATTTTCGAATAATAGCAACTTAAACTAATTTGCTCATTTCCAATTTATTGGTAGATGTTGCACTTAAATGATCTTCCTAGATCTGGAACCAATATTTCCCAAAGACCTATAATATCTCAGAAGTGGGAAAAAATTAACATTTATTATTGGTTTTTGACTGAAACGAATCTATATGAGATATATGAGATATTTGACTATATTCTTCAACGAAATCAGCGTTAATGAAATAGTCAGAAGTGCGTCTTTCCTGTATTTGTGAATTCTCCAAAGAGTCACTGGAAAGGCCATTTTCGTATTTTGTCTACAAAAGTTGGCAAACTATTTCACACATTGAATATTTTTGGATGGCCATCCAAAACTGCTTGTCTTTTGCAATGTCCGGTAACCCCCATTCAAAATAGTAGGCTTCTATTCTGACCCTCATCTTATCCCAATGCAAAATTTCGTAAGGATCGGGCCATAAATGCGATCTGTATATGATATCCTGATATCCTAACTACTTAGTTTTGTTAGCTGTAGAAATATTTCCAAATGTTTAATTCAAAATGAAAAT